TCTGGAAGTCTGTAGAAGGGGGGGTGGAGGGGTTGGGGGAAGGTAGGTGGGGTTTGGGAACTGGCAAGCCAACATGCAAGCAAGCAGTTGCTAATCAAATCAACTGAACTTTTTTAAAAGGACCACTGTTTGAAGTTTAAAGCTTTCTACATTATAACCTTCTCTAAGAGGAGTATAATCGCAATACCAGAATGGTTAGTGGTCAATCCTTTTCATCTCTGGTCCAAACCCTTCTCGATCGATTTTAGCTTTTAGTCTAAGATTTTTATCTCACCTCAGTCAGCGGTTTTTAGTCTGATAGTGTGCGATTTCCTTGCTGATTCCAAGAGAACCTTGTTTATGTTCCGTTTGTTTTTTCGCCTGGTTTTCATTTTCGCTTGATTTCACTTCGTCAGCCACGGTGTTCGAAAGGCGAATGACGCATGACGCAAAGATACGCCCACGGAACTCGTGATCAGCGTCGAAAGAAATAGCGCACAGCATTACCAAGGAAGTGTGATAGCACAGGACAACGACGACAACCCAACGACTGAAATATTTCGAGATATGTCAAGTGTTTCAAATGGTTTTTCTCTAAGCTTTACATGTCTGTTTGGTTAATCCGGGGCTTTCCTAAAAAAGGTTACTCTGTTTGGATGTCTTAAGTAAACTTTGTTCCCAGTCTCGCGGGAAAGTGTTAGGCGGCTTTTTTAGTTGCTGCCTCTCTTGTACACGGTTAGCTACCCTTAAACATCCGGGGACGTATATCTTGGTAATAGACCTTGTCACGGTTTTCGACGCCATCTTGACGAGTAGGCAAATGTGTGAGAAATTACAGTGTTTGTATGAGCATGAGAATCTAATGTCGAATAATTTCCGTAAAACGCCTGTTCTGAAAGAGATATCAATTGTAAACTAAAGCTACAAAGTAAAGGATTGCACTAAAAAAATTTGGGGGCGTACATGTGCTTTAATTTCTCCAGAGGCTTGCTTTAGATTTTCCATATATTTGTCTGTAATTTTTCCCGGGACCCTCTCACAGACAGATGTATAAAAAATTTTAAAAAGTCGTTCTAGGTCTTTTAGCGCATGTAACGCCCTCAATTTTTTTTCAGTAGAATCCTTAGGATTAATCCTTAGCTTTAGTTTATATTCGATATTTTTTGCAGAACAGCCGTTCTACGGAAATTATTCGACATTAGATTTTCATACAAACATTGTAATTTTTCACGCGTTTGCCTACTCGTCCAGATGGCGTCGAAAACCGTGACAAGGTCTATAACGATATGAAAATCACAACCATAGGTAAAGACTCAGTAGGGAACTTCGAATATCTTAAACGAATGAAACGTTTGTCCAAACATTTTTAGCCTTTGTCGAGCTTTAGAAATTTCTAGGCAAAGTTTGGTCCTTCGAAGAGTTATTTTACAGGTTGAAGTCGTAAGGTGTGGCCTCTGCCGACAACCACCCATTCCCCTCCTGAAATGTGGACAAATAAAATAAAAGCACTGACTAGACTAGATTTGGTTTTTACGTCAGCTCAATCGCGTCGGCAGACGCTATTTTCACACTTAAGAGGTAACCTCTGGGCTGGTAGCCTGACTCCTAGCAGGGAAGCTGTTTATAAAAATTACAAAAAATGTTTCATTCATTCAAAAATTTGTAGTCCTGCAACGGGGTTACCATCACGCAAGAAGCCTAAATAAAATGAAATAAAATTTAAAGTAATGACGTTAAAAAATTTTCTACGAAAGATAAAATGGATAAAAAATTCCACAGCATCAATCATTATGCAATATTAAAATTCATCATTGACTAAAATACTCATATAAGACTTTTTTGAAACGATCTGCGGACTTAATGTTCACAATTTCGCTTCGCGACAGCAGAAAGTCTGTGTTGAAAACTGCCGCTATGCCATTTAAAATTCAAAAGTCACAGGAATATCATTCATGGCAAGAGAGAATGAGCTTGTTCATGGTGACGTGTAAGGACAGTCTTGCCCCATGTAGGAAAAGGAATCCAAGACAGTCCTGGATTCCGGATTTCGGGTACTGAATTCCAGTCTTTGTTAGTAGAACTTGGATTCTGGATTGCAATCGTTGGTAGGATTCCGGATTCCTTGAGCAGTATTCCAGATTCTTAAGCCCACGATTTCGGATTCCTCGAGTAAAAATTTCCTAGATTCCGGAATCCAGACTCCCTTACATGGGGCAAACAGTCGATTCACAAACAGCAACAACAGCAGCCTCGTTCCCAGTTGCCCTCGGCGATTTCGGATGTGACGTCACCTGTCAAGCTTGTTGGGAAAATTCGCGCTATCGCACTCTGTTCCAAGCCTCCTCTGGTAACTAGATAGCGCGAACTGGCCAGGGTACGAGGCTGCAACAACGGATCATTTTTCAAGGGAGATCCCGTAATTTCTCAGTTCGCTCTTCACGTAATATCTTAAAACGAAAAACTCCACAAAATTGCGCTTTGAATCTAAACGGGTGTAGCACTTTTTTTTCTTACCTAGAAATTGTTCTGTGTATGTAACTGAACTTTTCATTTATCGTCATTTCTTGTTCGCAACTTCTGAAGCACCAAGAAACTTTCGAAAAATTAAATGTTTGCCAGAAGAGCATGTTTTGAACAGTCGTGAATTAGGTGAAACTTGTCCTCTGTGCAGTCGTAGAAACAAATATCTATACAACCATTTTTATCATTGTAACATTTTAATATTGCGTAGTGGTCAATCATTTTTGTCATACTTTACTTTTCATGCATTTATGTTTTCTTTAGCTTCCCAATAGCAAGGCAAATTCTTCTTGCCTTTTCCATCGCAGTATTAAAATAATTATATAAAACACAGGAAAACAGGACGCTGTGGGAGCGTATATTTGGGCGTCGTTGTACTACGCATACGTGATTTTTTTGGGGGGCGGGGGGGAGGGGTATTTGGGATGTGTGAGTAGTGCAGTAGCCTTGCAATTTTTAGGGGTTGGTTGACATGTGTGAAGTAAAGTAGAAGGCGTGGAGTTATATTGCATGTTGATTGGCGAGATAATGGCTGCAGTTTGTTAAACTGGTTTCTCGGCGTAGAATTTGATATGAATTAAGGAAGGGCTTATTTCATTATGAAGGGATAGTGTAGTTACAGTCTGTTGAAATGAAGTGGTGGTTGTGAAAGATCTTATCAATAGTCGAAAACATACTTGTACTTATTTTAAATGTTGTTAGGCTTTCTGTTTAGGATTGTTTTTCGGCTATTTTTGACAATATTTGCATGGGGAGAACGTGGATATGGGAAAGTTCATTTAATATGGAGAAGGGAGTGTAAAGATGTTTGGGAGGAGAGCTGAAATTTTGGGTGTGTGGGTTCGGGGGGATTATTTTAAACGCAACGACGCAACAAAAATCAACTTTGACATTTCATGATAACTGACGGATCAAGCCCGGATAGCTGATATCCCAGAATAGTGACGCCGGGATCCCAGCTGGATATTTTCCAAATAATTACGCTTGCGGAGCAGCCCGGCGAATGAACCAAGCGAGACAAGACAGCGGGTAACACACTGCTAATGCGCTCTATATAAAAATGGCGGTTCCGGGCTGGCACGTGAAAGCTTTAGATTTTGCCGCTTTTGTAATACTCGTTTAGTAAAGCCTGGGAAACACGATTTAATACACGCTCCATAGTTAGGATTCCTGTTACCTTGCAGGCAACAAAATCGGTCAGCTTGTTTGGCATGCTAGTCGTTTTTTCTTTCAGATCATTCCCGACTTCAGGCAAAATAAAAACGCTTTTATCATCGTTCCATTACTGTTCTTTGGCTAATGGCTAAACCATTTGACGTGAGTTCGTTCGAAGAGAATCTCCACAGAGCTCTTGATTCTGAGAAATGACTGTCGAGTCGAGCACATCAGATTTCACTCAGTTGCCAGTCCGCAGAATGGCACTATACTTGCTTGGGTCAGCAAGACAGCCGACGTTACGCAGATACAAAACTTTAGATGAATGATAGTGAAGTCACACCACTGGGTAGATAGGCTCCATTACCAGCCGCTGTTCGGAAAATGAGCCCGCGCTCCTCCTCCTGTCTCTTCGAGAGAGAAGCGGAAATCGAGCCTACTCGGTAAAAAAATCACATTAAGTAGATATTGACGTAGCAGCTATTCTCATCCCACAGCCCCGCTCTTCTCCATCGGTGGCAGAGACAGGAATCGCTGCCATCACACTGATCATAGGACACTCGTTAGCTCAAGCCCGCCTTGGATTCAACATACTCCATCGCTTTGGTTTTAACGTTTTCCACGCTGAATGCATCACCATATTTACGTTCAAAGTCCAGGTAGCGTTTGAAGAAGAGTTTCATCTTTTTGGAAGACAAGTTAATGTGGATGACTCTCTCGAATATTTGCCTGATAGGAAAAATAAAACAGGGAAAACTTAAAGCAGGAACTACTAACTCTAGAGCGTTTTCACTAACGTGGCCAGCATCTATGCAAATTTATTGGAACAAAAGAAAGTTTTTACATGAGAAAAGAGTTCAACTCCAACAGGATTAGTTTCGCACACCAACATGGCCGCCGTTTCATTGTCTTGGAACACAAATATCGCCGCCGTGACGTCATGTGAAAACGCTCTATAAGGACACTGTATTTAAGTTCTGGAGACAGGTTTGCCATTATGCGTCAGAAATTTGAGCCAAGAGGTGGTCCAGCTATGTGTAGGACGCAAAAAAAAAAAAATAATAATAATAAAAGGCCGGAAAACATCGCTTTTGTTGTTTTAAGATCTGAGCATTGGCCCTATCGGGGATCGAACCCGAAACACCCCACTCTGCAGATCAGCACTCTGCCTGCTGGGCTAAATCACACATATCTATAAATATCGGTAGAGAGCCTAACAACATGATATGGGCTGGCTCCGTCTGCGGGGCTGGGTCCCTTTGTCGAGTAACCCGGCTGACTCGGTTGCCCTGTAATAACAAAGTTGATTTTGGTTGCGTGCCGAGATCTCGGCCAAGCGAGCCAACTCGGCCCATGTAATCGGACCCCAAGTCCTTCGCCCAAAAGACTGAACCAGTGACAAATCGAACTACAACATAACAGCGTCGATGAGCACTGGTACATGCGCAACAGGTGCCGAAAGCAGGTATAGTCAGAGTAAACTAAAGGCAAAATCTCGAAGGAAAGAACTCGAAGCAAAACACGTAACGGCGCAAAGTGCTAGAAGTGGAAACTAGTGCCAAACGCTGGAATAATATGACAAAAACAACCAAAAACAGAAACACTACAAACGCGTAAGCCGAGTATTAAAAAATCGCCAGGCTTAATTATCTAAAGAATTCTACCTCTATTGCTAGAAAACTGCGTTTATAAAAAAGCGGATTTCAAGAATCAGAACAAGTGAGCTTCGATCACTAAAAGCACCCTGCCAGCATAGCCTTCCTTTAGTTTGCTTTATTTTAGCGTACTAGAGAAAGACTCTGCAGGAATCAAGGAAGATCCTTCTTGAACATGCACGGCAGGATGCTAGCACATAGTTTTGAACCTTGTAGGCCTAATAGCCGTGCGCTTGCTGCAGCGTGCACGGTTATGACGATCGGTTTCACAATAAACGGATGCTCACACTCGAAAAGAAAAAAAAACAATTCGACAAGAGAGAATAAGATTGACTAGTCCAAAAGTTCGAGCGGCGGCGACTTCAAAGGCTTGAGGCGATTCAGACAGAGCCTGCTTTTATCCTCCTCACACAAGACATAGTTAGTAGAGAGGAACAAGAGGACAAAAGGAGGCTCTGCTCGCAGGGTGCACTAAAAGATTCAAAAAGTGGACATTTTAAACCACTCGTAACACTGAATTTGTGGGTTTATTCCTCACCGAACAGGTTCCGCGTCCCCTTGCTTAATCATCATATCCAGATAAACTGACCAGAGGTCACTTCTTTTGGGATAGTTGGTTAAAATACTTTCGAACATAGTCTGCCCTCGCTGTGGCTCGCCATATCTGAACTCATGCAGGGCAAACTGCACGATAGTTGCAATATCTGCAAAGGAAACAAAACCAGCAAAGAAAAAACACAAGAAAAGTTAGTCACATCTGACCAGTCACATCGTATGCAAATAAACGAATGAATCAAGTTAATCTTTACGCAAAGAGAGACAGGCAATGGTGTGCGCAAAAAAAGACCGCGCGCGGCGGAGGGGCGTTTTATGGAAGAGAGAGCGGGTGGAAATCGTCGGGCGGGAGCCCTACGCATCATCGGCCATCGACTTATCTCTTTCGAGTGTTTGGCACACAAGCTTTGCCAAGTCCAGAAGCAGAGCGTAATTATACAGGATTGGCGAATGCATTACTGGCCGATGTACTTTTTGACTCTAAAAGACTAAGATTGAACTAGCAAGGGAAATATTAACGGCATAAAAACTATTTACGTTCTAATAATGCCTTTATTTAGCGAGGGTAACACTAAATAGCCCAAGGCTAATAAACTTGTAGCTCCAAAAAAGCTGAGGGCTACTGAAAAAGCTGTAATGAAACTTGGCTGGACTAAGAGGAAGGAGATTCTCTTTTCCTTCTATCGAGAAAAAAAAGTCAAGTAAGAAGAGTACAACAGCAGCACCAGCGTTCTGAAAGACGACATGACTAGTACCTGGCAAGCGCGGGACAAAGATAAAAACTTGAGTCTCCGAGAGGACTCGAAGCCATGACATCCCCAACATCGCGAGGGCACTCGGAGAGACTTATGGAGAGCCAGGCAATATACTACAATCTCAGACAAAAACCTTGAAAGGCTTTGGAAACCATTGAAGAGGAAAAGAGAAGTGCATGGGTGTTACAAGGATTTTTTGGCGAGAATTGTAGCCTCATATTTGACACATATTTTGTCGATAGCGTACTGTACTAACTAAATAAGATTGTGAAATTAACTTTCAAATCGAGAGCTGTTTCGAAGCTAGTTAAACTTATTCATTTATCTCTATTAAAAACCAGCTGCTTCTTTACATGAACATGCGCAGAAGGGAGAATTGAATGTTGCCGTGACAGAATATATAAAACCACAGGAAGCCCAAGCTCATTATGAGAGCCCTGAACAACATTATCCTACTATGCAAATTAACTATTCATATGGTAACAATTATAAGATGCTGTATGAGAATTATCCTATCTCTCCATAATTGAGCGAAACGTGCATTAAATTTTCCCTTTAAGCTTGCATTTTGTATTTTCTTCTGTTTATTTGTGTTTGACTGCGCTTGAGGCCTCTTAGGATGCCAAACTACCCTACTAAGCTCAATAATTACTCATACAGCGAGAAAATTGTAAGACGTTGTATGAGAAATATTTTTTGCTCACTAAGTTGGCAAAATGAGCATTAAATATCGCTTTGAAAATTACTTTTAGCGTCTTCTTGTTTTTCTTTGTGTTCTGACTGCATTTCAGACATCCTAGGACTGTTTGATCCTTTTTTTTTGAGCGACAGTTTTTCACCCAGATGACGGGCTCTCATATGAGCTTGCGTTCCCTGTGATAGGACCTAATGAACTACTCACGTTTTCTTTTCGGCAGACTCTTGAGGCTCCTTTGAAGCAATTTTCTACCTGACTCAAGCTTTCCTTGCTTCATGTAGAATGCACCAAAATTAACCCAAACCTTTTTGCTTTGACTGAACCGCTTGCTCATCGTCTGGTACAATTGTTCGGCCAACTACAAACAAACCAAAAGCACAGATATATTTAGCCTGGGTAGCGGACACTTGGAAGTTATGGGTGCGAGAGAGAACAGCGCTTGCTATGGAGACACGCGAGTGGAGAGGGAGCGTGTTTTTGTGTCTTTCTCTCTTTCTCCCTGTGTGCTCCTCTCGCGCGGCCCGATGTGTTAAACTAAAACATTTTGGAACATGAGTCAGATGATTTTTCGTACCTCAAATTTATCTGTTCTTGTGTAGATACCAATCAACTGAAAGAAAACTTTCTTAGGCTCATTCTGCTGCAGGGCTCGCTCAAACACCTTCACAAGGGATTCTTGTGTACCATACAGGTTTTCTAAGTTCATTAGGGCCACCCACACGTTCAGCTTTTCCTGCTCCTCCCTGTTGAATGAACGAGACACATGAAAATGATGATTTTTAAGTATCTGAGACTAATACGCGCTTTAACTCTAATCAGACAAAAACGATCGTACTAGCTAGTGCACTTTTCAACAACGATTCTTTTCATCACGAGTTTCACAAAATTTGGCATGCTCGAAGCTGGCATTTTTGGGCGAAGAGACAGAATCGTACCCAGTCGCCACTTACTTATTTTCGCAAAGGAACATGGAAAGGCAGTTTGACGCGCGCAAAGGCGCTTGGGAATGAGGAAGGAAAACTGACGTCGCTTCGCGTTTTTCTTCCTTCCCTGGATGCATCGCAAACTCACTAAATCCTTCCCATTAATCACAGGGCATACAGAGAAGCGACTTAGTACGAGTCTGAAGAAGGGAATCGAAAGCTCTGGGTACGAGAATAGAGGCGAATAATTAATACTATTGAGGCAGGTAGTTTTAACAATGGCTCTCAGCCTGTTAAAAGTTTTAGACTCAAAGACAGTTGCTACAACTTACAATAAACTCACAAAAACGAAGCTAT